TTTGTCTTCTTGGCCACCTGGGCACTCCATGGCTCATGTTCAGCCACTGTTGATCACCACCCCCAGGTCCTTTTCCACTGGGCAGCTTTCCAGTCACTCTCATTGTAAAAATTCTGTCCTTATATCTAGTCTGAATCTATCTGCTCTTTGGACCTCTTTTTCCTTTCTCTGCAGGCCTTACTAAAAAGTCTGACTCCATCTTGTAAGCTCATTGTAGGTACAATACACTGAAGGCTACAATAACGCCTCCCTGTGCCCTTCCCTTCTCCAATCTGAAAAATTCCAACTCTCTCAGTCTTTCTTCATAAGACAGGTGCTTCAGCATTTTTGTGGCCCTCTTCTGGGACCTGCTCCAGCAGCTCCATGACTTTCCTGTACTGGGGACCTGGCAGCTGGTTACCGTACTCCTGCTGGGGTCTCACTAGAGCAGGGCAGCAGAAGCTGCTCACACTGCTCTGGGAGAGAGGTCCTCCCTCTGTAAGACATCCATTCCCTCAGGCATGTCAAATGCAAGACTCAGCATTGGTATTAGCAAATTTGCTTATGGTGCACTAGATAATGTCTATTTTTATGGTGACTGGCTAAGAAACATTAATTTTTATGTCACCAGTTGTGGAACAGGATTCTTTCACTTCCTGTTCTTCTCCCAGCTCTTTTTTCTCTGTAGAGTGAAGGTGGCCTCTGCTGAACTCTATCCATAGAATGAGAGAAATGTAGAGAATGGGTCTGAGTAACAGAGCGGGACTGCATGCTAGAACTGCTGTTGGATCCTGACTGTATACTGATCTCATCCCATAGCAGAAGATTGCCTTGCAGGTGCAAAAATAGTTTTCAGTCTGGGTGACAGAACCAGAACAGACCTCTCTGGGTGTGTGTTAGAGCACACGTTAGATGCATGCCAATTTCTAGGCAGCTCTGCTGCTAAAGCTTTGCAGCAGAGCAATATTTTTCCTGCCTACAAGCCTAATCTGGGTGATGCTAAAGCAAAGCATATTCTTCTTTCATGTCACCATTTATTCAGAGAAAGCCACACTGGTTCCAGTTAAAGGTCTGTTAAAAATAACAGAGAGATCTTCAGGCTGCCCTGACCTGTGTATGCTGTCATCAGTACACAAAAGCATAGAAAGGAGTGCTGTGGCCTGCATATCCAAAATATGATCTGGACTGCCTGGCCCAAGCAGTGGGATATCCATTTGAACAGCATTGGTTGGGAATGTGCTGCAGAAAGTCTCTTTTCTTTTGCATGTCTTCCCAAGCAAGTGTGGACTTGAAATTGGGTCAGGCACTCTTACATAAATCATCCAGAGTGGAACATAATATCTTCTTTTGAGGATGCACTAGATCTGATATGCTTCATAGCTAGGTCCTTTGTTCTGTGTATAGTGGAGAGCTGAATCTTGCTAGCATTTATTTGGAGAGAGCGTTGAAGGGCTGCTGCTGAGCCACTACTGAGCTCTTCTGCCTGGCAGGAGAGTTTTTGTTGTAATACACTATTTGACATTTGCAACTCACCTATCTCATTGCAAACCAGACTTTTCTGGCTGGTCTTGTGCAAATGTTAGTGGCTGAAGGTTCTCTTTGAGTATTTGCTCTGTTTAAAAAGCAAATTTTAAGACACATTTCCTTTCTCCATCTCTTAGCTGATTATGTGATCTTCTCTTCCACTTTTACTTGTAACTCTTCCAAGCATCTTTTTCTTTTCATAAGATCACAAGCTCAAATACTTGTACATTGGTTTCCTTAGGACTTCAATAGGACCTACCTACCTATTGAAATTATTATTTTTACTGGCTTTTAGAGCATGTCTGCAATTTTAATCAACTAGATAATAAAATCATAGAATTACTTGGGTTGAAATGGACCTTATATGTCATCTAGTTTCAGTGCATCTGCCATGGGTGCCTTCCACTAGACCAGGTTGTTCATAGCTTCTTCCAACAATTCCAGGGATGAGGCATCCACAGCTTCTCTGGGAAACCTGTGCCAGTGCATTAACACCTTCACAGTGAAGACTTTCTTTCTCATATCTAATCAAAATCTACCCTTCTTCAGCTTAAGACCATTCATCCTCATCCTGTCTCTGCCTGCCCTTGTGAGAAGTCCCTCTCCATCTCTCTTGTAGCTCCCTTTGGTACTGAGAGGCTTTTGCAAGGTCTCTCCAAAGCCTTCTCTTCTCCAGCTAAACAGCTCAAATTCTCTTAGTCTGTCATCATAGTAGAGGTGCTACAGCTGTCAGCTTCATGTCTCTCCTCAACTCATTCCAGAGGGTCAACATCTCTTTAATGTAGGGGGGCCCTAGAGCTGGATGCAGAATTCCAGACGGGGTCTCACAAGAGCTGAGAAGATGGCAAGAATCACCTCCCTCAACTCCTGGCAATGGTCTCTTTGATGCAGCCTAGGACATGATTTGCCTCCAGCCTCTCACCACAATCAGCCTCTAGTCCTCCTCTTCATGATCCATTCTCCACCCAACTTGTTCTTGAGATTGCCCCAACCCAGGTGTAGGATTTTGTATTTGGCCTTATTGAACTTCATGAGATTCTCACAGCCCCACCTCTCCAGCCTGTCCAGTTCCCTCTGGATGGCATCCCTTCCCTCCAGACTGCTGAAAGTGTCAATGACAAACTTGCTGAGGGTGCCCTCAATCCTACTGTCTGTGTCACTGACAGAGATATTAGACAGTGATAGTCCCAGCACTGACCTCTGAGGAGCAGCAGTTGCCATTGGTCTCCACTTGAGCTGTTGACTGCATCTCTTGAAGTGAGACTATCCAGACAATTTCTTATCCAGCAACTGTTCCATCTGAAAATACATGTGTCTCTAGTTTAGAGACAAGGATGTTATACAGGATAGCGTCAAATACTTTGCACACGTTCAGGTAGATGGCATCTGTTGCTCTTTCTCATCTACCACTGCAGTAAACTCATTGTAGAAGGCTACCAAATTTGTCAGACATAATTTGCCTTCAGTGAACCCATGTTACTATCACTAATCACAGTAGTCTTCATTATTTAGGTGATGTACTCCTAAAAGGAGTAAAATGTTGAAATGCACTGCCTAAAAAGGAAAGAGCACAACCAGCCTTGTGGATGGATAACTTTTAAGAATTTAAATTAGGGCATTTATGGAATTAATATCTGTGCTCTTGGTCACTGGCTTTCTGACCATCACTGACTTCTATATCCATCACACTGACTTCTGCTTATTTCATTTACACATCTGCATGCATTAAGTAGCCATAAGTAAGGAGGAACTTTGACAAACTGTGCAGTCTGACTGCTTACTGCTGAATAATGGCTTACAGAGAAACCTGACAAGAAATGTAAAATCAAGACAGTGCCTTTGCCCTTCTTGTCTTGGTCTCTTGTAATCTTAAGCAACCTTGATACTTTGAGACCTTTCTTGAATCTAAGCATAAAAGTACCTTTGGATTTTATACTCCTTTCACCTTTTAAATAAGCTTTACACAATTTTTAGAAAAACTTCAAAAAGCCAGTATAAATATATTCAAAACCAATTTGAGTCACTTCTTGTGCCAACACTCTGCTTTTCCCCAAATGATTTTGTTCTTCCCCTGATGTTTAGTCCCTGTCAATTTACAGATAGTAAACATACCCTCTCCAGTCTTTGCTTTGCTAAGCTAAACAACTTCAATCCTTCAGTCTTTTCAGCTCAGGCAGGTCTCACTCTGTTCCTTCACCATATTTATTTCCAGTTCAATTTCAGTCTACTTCAAGATTATTGCCCAGAACCATCCTTGTGCAGTGCTGTTTTCTTGCTGTTACTCATAGATTTTCAGTCTCAGTTGCTTTATGGAGAGGATAGCTAAGACATTTTAGTGTCTGGAGAATCATACTAAGTTTAGCCCTGACAATACCAGCTTTTCATGTAAACAAAGAGAAAAGCAATAACTCCTCCTAATCATCTTATCCTGCTATGGGACATTTCTGCAGATGAATAAGCACTGCAAGTGTTGGAGTCAGTAACATGCTCATGAATTCATTATATATGCTGCTTGTTCATGGGCATTTCAGAGCATCTGCACTGTGATGCTCTTATGTGAATTTTATTGTCCTTCTCCTGTTTTGGGAGCCCAGACATATCCCATGTTTCAAGTTATAGCTGTTGTGCATAGTCTTTTTATCTGGAAAGGGTCTGGAGATGTGCTGCCTCTATGGCAGTTTGTGTCTTGTACATGACCCCTGGCTCATGATCCTCCTGATAGCAGCAGGATTGCAGCCCGCTGCCAAGCCGCCTGGTTTGTCTTCTTGGACCATCTCTCAGTGGGACCCTTCTGGTGAGCTATACTGCAAAAGGAGCTCTGGATAAGGATGGTGCCTTGCTGCTTCCATCAGGGTGCATGCCTTCCTGCTCTTCCTTGCTTTGCCCTCCTGCGTGTGCATAGGCTGGGCCAAAGTCCCAGTCACAGGTGTGTGGCAGAGCACTCACTGCTGCTCTTTGCAAATGACTTATTAGCTGACATAAAAGACATCTTAAAGGTCCCAAGATGTTTGTAGGCAACATCAACCAATCAATCAGAGTATGTGTCAGACATTTGCATTCTGAAAAATGGATACCTCTCTCTGAGATTCAGTAGCAGGAATAGAAAGATGGTAACAAAACGAGTCTCCAAGGAGATCTTGTGTCAGTCTTCAAGGATGTAAAGGGAGTTTATAAGAAAGATGGAGTCAGATGTGTTAGTAGGTACTGTAGTTGTAGTGCAAGAGTTAATTGTTTTAAACTAAAAGAGTGTAGTTTCAGACTAGATATAAGGAAGATATTTTTTATGCTGAGGATAGTGAAACACCTGTACAGGTTGGCCAGGGAGGTGGTAGATGCCCTATCACTGGAAACATTCAGGGTCAGATTGGAAGCGGCTCTGGGAAACCTGATCTAGTTGAAGATGTCCCTACTTACTGCAGAGAAGATTGGACTAGATGAACTTCAAAGGTTCTTTCCAACTCAAACTAATCTATGATGTTACAATTTTATGATCATAGAATAGAAAGTGCATTTCAGAAGACAGGACTCAAGGTAGCTCTGGTGGATTACTACACTCTTTTTGGAAAGGTGGGTATGCTGTGTTACAGATAATTCAGTATCTAGTTCTAAAAGCTAAAACCTGTATTTATTACCTTCAATTTCATGTATAGCCATTTGTCACCTGTTCTTTAAAACTTGATTTTCACAATGAGATATTCCCACCCTGCAAATCTTTCTGTTGTTATGTTTCACTGAATTAAAACAAGTGATAGGCTGGCTCTTTCTGTGTAATTTGGCCTGTGGGTGTTCAGTGTACATATACACAAGAGCAATTTAGTTAATGACTCATGCTTACTACCCTTGTCTTTGAATATGCTGTTGCCCCAAGCAGATGGAGATCATCATGAATACTGTTTCAGAAAAGGGCCCACCACCAGAGCTGCAGTAGTGAGAAACGTTTATTCAAGTATTTATGTCCCAAATCCTGGCGTTTTATTTGCCATGTCTTACTGGCGCATTAGCTGCTGCAATTGTTAAGCTTCTCTTTTAAGACAGATGGAGAGAAAACTACTCCAAAATATTTTCTCCAGAATACTGATGATCATACTACTTACCCTTTCCTATTTTTTTGAAGGAAACAGCATACACTTCCTGAGTTTCATGTGACAAATAAAATGCAAGCATATTTTGAAAAGAGAAATGTTGACCCAACTTAACTTTCCATCCTCTTACGCTGTTTTGAGAATGAACTAGCATGCTTCAGATCATGGGAACAAACAAAAAGCATGGTGGCAGAGAAACAGCAGTATTTGAAGTAAAGCTGTTCAGCACTTCTTCTCAAGGTACAATGCCTTTGTCTCAAAAACCAAAACTACAGAGGGATTAGCTGCACAGAAGGAAAATAAAACATACCCACTGAAAATTGAAATATGCAATGCAACTTGTCAGGGATTATTTGTTTGTCTTTTATTGGTGGGTAATCTCTCAATTACTAGAACATACTTTCTATCTCCAGCTGTGCCTAACCTTGTTTTAGCGTGGCCATAATTAACATAGTTAATTACACAGCTCTGAGTTGAAGTTAAGTACTTAGGTCACGTTCAGCTGGTCTTCACTTTCACCTCATGAATATATTATTAGGACAATAAAATTTCTTTGACTATAAATAGAACTCATATTTGCATGCTTTCTCTTAATAAAATTTATTTGGTATTTGTATATTTATCTCATTTGAAGCTGTATTTATAGTAAAATGATCTTTCATGTCGGTTTCTGATTATTGTCTTGTTATCAGATCCTGCTGTATTGTTGGCATGTGAATCTTCAGTTTCTTCACTAGGGACACTGTTTAGCAGAAAAGATGGTCAGGAGAGCAGAGTGGAGGAAAAGAGGGCGTTTTGGTATGCAGCTGTGCAATCAGTTAAGTGTGAAGAAAGGACTACTGCCTTCGTCCACCCATGTAAGGTACAGGTAGCACTTAGCTTCTGAGTTAAGTTCCCATAAAGTTGACATCTTGATATGTAACACTCATTCAAGGCCAGGTAGGCTGACCCGATGATGAAATTTGGTCTGCTGATTTAATTTGTAATGCATCAGGGGTCTGGGTGTTATCCCATGCTCCAGGGGAGGTTTGTCACCTGATTTCAAAAAAGTTCAAACTCTGCTTTGGGCTAATGAAGAAGTGTGTCATCCTGACATCCTGACAACCCTTTGCAGGTTGTCACTTTTCCCATACCCTGTTTTCTCTAAGTCCTGGTCCACAGGCACCACATCTTGCCAATACTTTTAACATTTATTACCAAGATGTTGCCTTAAAGCTCCTCACAATCTGGTGCAATTAAAGGATTGGATCCTCCTGTCATTCAGCTCTGTGGGAAGTGTGATATTTCCTCATTTCGCACTAAGCTTAGTCACTCCTCAGACAGACAGGGAAAAGGGACATATGTTCAGCTCTGTGTACCTGAGACAGCAGCCAGGGCTCCTCAGAGTCAGAGGGACAGATGGGCTCAGCCTCTGATTCTCTGTTCTGTCCTCTGAATGAGCTGAGTATCTGCAGTATATGCTTTGGGACAGCAAGTTGGACATGTCAGCCCTGAGTCCAGCCCATTGTGGCCATTATCGTGTTCTTGCTTGTGCGTGGAGACAAAGAGCCTAAGCTGTTGAGAGTTGCAACATAGGAGTAGTTCCTCCAACTCCAGCCATTAATTTTTTATTTATTTGTCTCTGCTCAGAAGCATGGCCAAAAATAGGAGTGCCAGTGCACTATGTTTTCTCTCTGTACTAATATATCTGTAGTCCAGAGGAGAGACAGATCATAGTGAATCATTTCAGGGTTAGGTATTCCAGCCTTTTCCTCTGTCTTTGCTAAGGGCTGCTGTATAGTGCACTGTGGATCTTCCCTGGGAGTACTCCTGACGTATGGAAGGTCTCCACTGGGTTCTGTTCGCGTAAGGCAGAGTTCTGCTGTCTGAGCATTCTTAGATGTTCTCTGTTGGCAGAATTGTCCAGTGTTGTTGGGACCAGGTTCCATATGAATGCAGATCTTTGAACCTACCTCCTTCTAAATGCCTTCTCAAAACAGCTATAGTGAAATGTAGCTTTAATAAATGATCTGGCAACCACTGGGTTTTTAAGCCAGGTTTCAGATGAGATTTGTGTCAGTTTCAAAGGGTAGCTACAAATATCATGCTTAATGACTATGGTGTACAAATGAGTGAATACAGAGAGCTCTCACAAGAGAAATGAACCAAAAACTCTTGAAGCTGCCTGAGAATCCCAGTATTTAGTGTAACTGACAGATACAGTTGCCTCTGAGGAGACAGAACTCAAAGCCTTGTTCAGAAACATTGACCAAGTGGTTACAGAACATATCCTTGGATGTGACTACCCTATGTACATGCAAAACATTTATGACTGCTGCTTTATGTGTAAAGACTGAAATGCATTTGTCAATGGTGTTACCAGACTTTTAAGCTAAAGATAGTATTACAATTCAGAATGGAGGAATTTTTGTGAAATTCTCACACTCGTCTTAGAGGTTTGATTGTAAGTGTCTTGTCCCAGCTCACAAAATTACTCTGCTCTAAATCTCATCAGAGATTTTTAAAAGATGACTTCTAAAACAGTTGCTGTTATGTTGTCATAACTCATTAGCCAGAGAAGTGCACAGCATATGACTCTACCAGGTTTGTCATGGACTCAGTTATTTATGAGGGCCAGACTTCCAATATCTCTAGTAATATTTTTAAATTTACCCTTTTTTCTTAAAATTACCCTTTTTTCTTTTTTCCTCAAACTTTTGAAGCCAATGGGACTCTCCTTTTGGTTTTTTGAAATGCCTAATAAATGTATACGTTACAAAAAATATTAAGCTCTGATTCAATGCTGTGAGTAGATAGTATAACTTATCCAAAAAAAAATAAACTGAGAAAATGATGAGAATGCCTGTTATTTTAGGATGGCCAGTCAGCCTATTAGGAAACAGTTCAAGAAAGGAGAGGTGGAGGAAATAGACTCAGTTTAATTCAACCTGAGTCTTCCTTATCCAAGCTGGAAATGACAGCAGCAGTTCCATCTTACTCTCATGATCACATAGCCAGGAAGAAAAACTTAGGTTCTGTTGTTGCTTCCATTGCACTGTGTGGACACTTGTGGCTTTTCAGAAGTTGCCTGCAGAGGCAGACCTTGAGAAGCCTGGCAGAATCCACTCAGAAAATGATTACTGCAGAAGGAACAAGAACATCTCTCATCTTGGGCCTGGGCCCTGACAACTTGTGATCTATTTGACGCATACTTCTTGCAGTGGATATGTGGCTGGAGCTCACCCAGGCATGTTTCTGAGCTTTGGGAGAGGATAATTTAAAGTCAGAATATCTAAATCAGTGCTGGGTATTCATTGCTACATGATGTGGTTGATACCAGTGGGACTTGACATATGAAATCAGTTTGATGTGACATTAGATGTTTTTGCTGCAAAAAATATTTGCAATTAAGAGACCAGATTTTCAAATTATTTTCCCCAGCAACTCTTCAAGTTTTTCAGAATTATTTTGTATCCTCAAACTTTCCCTTACAGATACCCATTATGTTTGGTTGCTTAAGGAGTGAAGGAGGATTTAATCAGAAATATTTCCCTTTTTGTGTTATCAAAAGTACCTCTATAAAAGATGTGTGCTAACATTTTCTAGTGAAAATGTTTCTGTTGTGTGTGATACTAAGAAAGTCAACCTTTGTCTTGTTTAATTGTAAAAAATACTGCTAGGATGCAAATATGCAGACTATGTGGATCTTGTTACCACAGATGGTAGCTTATACCGGGGATTTCCAGACAGGGAAACCAGTTATCTCAAAGCTGGCAGCTAAATAGGCAGCTGATCTTCAGAAAACAGAGCTGGTGCAGCTCATGTGCTAATGGCATCCAGACTCAAACAGAAGGGACCACTCCTGTGCACTGCTTGCAGACTGGAATGATCTAATTTTCACAGTCTATAAGCATCAGCTGAAAAATTTAGCTAGTGGATAAGCCCTCTGCAACTTACAATCACTTGTCTACCTCAAATTCAGTGAAGAAGGAAAAAAAAAAAAGACAGCAAATGCCCCCACACCTTCTAAAGGAGAAGAGGTGTCTGAAAATTAGACTGAATCATTAGCATGGTAGGACCAGCCAACAGAACTAGTGAAAAAGTAAGTTGGCTCATGTATTCATTTGGACACCTTGCAGCCTGGGAGGGAGGCTTTGTGGGTGCCCTGGCCTGCAGACCTGGGTGGCTTCATAAAGCAATCAGGGCTGCAACCCAGCAGGGACTGAGAGCAGCCCTCTGGGAACCGGGTTGTTGCTGGCACTGGCATACCCAGTTGCTTTTTTTTGCAGGCGGGGCTGTGGGTAAGGGCACTTGACAAGGGAAACCTTGTGCCACACTCTCCTCTCGAAACTGCTCTTATCCCATTGAGATATAGCTTGATTCTGTTGCTGCATCTCAGCCACATTGGCTGAATGTTGCCCTGCAGTAGTTGTCTAAGCGAATATAATTCACTGATTACTCCAGCTATTTAAGATGCTTAGAGAGTAGAGGAGGAGAGTTAAGATGTGAAGATACTTCTTTTCAGAAGATTTATAATTGTGGGGGTTTTCTCTCTATTTTTCTACCATATGAAGAAATGACGAAGCAGAAGAGAGTCTAGCTCAGGCTGTGATAAAGAGGTATTTGTTTCCTCACCCAGCAATGTTGATTAAGCTGGAGATAGGGAAGTGTATTTATTTCCACGCTGCTGTTCCAAATCAGTGCCACCTGCCAGAGGAATAGACTCTAATAAATTCCTGTAGCACCATAAGACACAAGTGTTATATTGGTTCTGTAGCCTTTTCTGCTGAAAAATCATCACCATGGTGAATGTTTTTCATTGGCAGGGGAAATAGGCAGATACTCTCCTGTGCTGTGAGGCCAGATAGGCTGAAGTAGAAACTGCCAGACTTAGTGCTGAGGATGCAGTTAGTTGGACCACAATGATGCATCTAAGTAATGCAGGCTATGGGGTGCTACATTCTGGGCAGTGATGTGTGGCCCTTGACTGAGCACTGTGAGCACCTTCAAAATTTCAAACTGTGTGTGGAAGTACTGCCATTCAAAGTAAAAGTCTGTTCTGATCTCTATTAGATTTGGAGTTTAATTTACTGCAGTAAGGGATAGTAGGATTAGATCTTTCAAAACCCATTATACTTAAATCCTCAACACTGTTACCAGATTTTGTTTTCTTGTTCCCCCATCCACAAGCAGTTGGGTTGGATGTTTGCATTCCTTCACTCTTAAGCTGGTACAGTCAAA